TAATTGTTTGCCCTATTTGGTGGGTTCTTTTTATTCTGGAGAAAGAAAGTTCCTGGAGTTGTGGTCATTTTGATCCCTCTCTAGAATATCTCTTAGTAGTCTGTGTAGGCTTGGCTTTGTCATCATGAAATTCTTTAGTTGTTCTTTGTCATGGAAGTATTTTACTTTTCCATTATACTTGAAAGAGAGTTTTGCAGGGTATATTAGTCTGGGTTGGAATTTGTTTTCTTGCAAGACTTGTGCTTTGCTCCATTCTCTTCTTGACTTGATGGTTTGTGAAGAGAAATCTGCCATTATTCTGATGGATTTCCCTTTAAATATGATCTATTTCTTTTCTATAGTGGCTTTTAGTATACTGTTCCTGTGCTAAATTTCTGGGATCTTGGTTTTTATATGTCTGGGTGTATTTTTAATTGTGTTGATGTTATTTGGAGTTCTATATGCTTTGGTTACTGACTGTCAGATTGTTTTCCCAAATTTGGGAAGTTTTCTGCTAGTCTGTCCATATTCTTTTTATATCATTTGTATTGACTCCTTCTTTCTCATTGATGCCTATTAGTCTTATGTTGTTCATCTTTGCATCACCTTGCAGATGTTGGATTATTTTTTCCTGCATCCTAATTGTTTTTAAAAGATCTTTTTTTAACCTTTTCAATAGCTGCAATGGTGTCTTCAAGGTATGAAAGTCTATTTTCACTTTGATTCAAGTCTTTTTTCCAGCTTGTGATTGAGGTTTTAATTTCCTGTATGTCTCTTTGAATGTGCTTCATGCATTCTATTTCTTTCCTATATTGCTCATTAAAGGATTCCATCATTTTTCTATTCTCCTCTATTTTTTAATCTTCTTTAGAAGCACTTAGTACTACTTTCTTTTTTTTTTTTTTTTTGGTGGAACCCGGAATTGAACTCAGGCCCTTGCGCTTATTCCACTGAGCCATCTCCCCGGCCCCAGTACTACTTTCATTATAGTTATCATTTCTTTTTTTACTTCAGAAATTATTTCTGATCTGATTTCCTCTATACCTTTCTGCAGCTGTTTCTTTACTTCAGACGCTGTTATTTCAGAGATTTCAGGTGTGTGATTTCTAATTTCTTCTATGCTAATGTCTCCTACATTTGTTTTGGGTGGGCTCAGAGCCTGAGAATGCATTTTGCTCCTTCTCTTTGTCATTTTGCATAGCACTGTCTTTTGACCTTTGGTGTTGAACTTTGATAGAGTTATTACATTAGCACCAGGTCCGGATCTACCAAGTTCAAACTGGTCAAGGTGGGTGTGGCTTGGGTCTGGCTGCTGTGCTCCACTTCTTCCTGCTGCAGCCCTTGGAGGTGAGCCTTCTGTGCCACTTGGGCAAGATATTTTGCTCCTGGATCAGCTAGGTGGGTCTTGCCTCTAGTCTCTCTGCAGAGAGTTATGCCCCAGGGTTTCACACCAGCCTGTCTGATGGAGGAAGTTCCACTCACTTGCTGGGCCTGGTTTAGATGAGGACCTGGGGGGCCCTGGGCGATCTCACTCACACTGGGCCTGGGCTCTGGGTCTAATGAAGATCTGGTGGGCCCTGGGCAGTCTCACACCAGGCCTGGGTTGAATGCAGACCCAGTTGGCCCTGGGCAGTCCCACTCACATCCCAGGCCTAGGTTGAATGAGGATCCAGCAGGCCCCAGGCAGTCCCACCCACAGGGCGGGTTCTGGGTTGAATGGAAGCCTGTCTTCTGTGCCTGAGATTCTGTCCTCACATTGGTTTATTCTGCTGCACATACTTGGAATGCAATTTTTAGTCTCTTGGATATCTGCTTGAATCTGTTTTATGGATTCCTTCTTTACTGTACTCTGTGTTCATGGTTTCCATCATTTTCCTAAGATACTCTTTTTTTTTTTTTTTTTAATTTGTATCTGTGCTAGAGCCACTAAGCATATTTTTTGTTGTGATCACCATCGCTGTACTTACCTGAGAAGTTGTTTTTGATTTTTTTTTTTTTTTTATAGAGCCTCATTCATTTGCTTTGTTGTTACTACCTGAGAGAGTGGCATTCAGATTACCCCCTGAGATTGTCTTTGGTGAGGTGGATATCTGGGGTTGCATCATTTTTAAATGTCTTCTCATTTTCTATTTTTTGTTTGTTTGTTTAATTCCTGGTTTGATCTTTATAAATTGTCTATGGTGAGTAGATTTATTGCTAGTATTTAGAACCCTCAGGAAATGACTTCCTCTTGAATCATCCTTCAGGAATATCTGGCTTTTGGGTTTTGAGTCTTTTGTAAGATCCTATGTCAAATTCATTGAGGATGAAAAGTTTCTGCCTACTTGGCCCAGCCCATGGTTCTTTGGCACTTGCACATATTTTTTTATCGCCCTTACTCAATCTTAGTCTTAGTATAGCAGGGAGAACTTATGTCACTTTTGGGGGAGAAGAAATGGTTAGAACACTTATGTCACTTTGGCTAACATGGTACAATCAGCAATAACCATAGCGTCAAAAGGCCTTGAAAATGACAAAGTGAGGTCGCTATTAATTTGCCATCTATAACTACATGAACTAGATTTGTGGTTATATAGCAAAATCTAAAACTAGAAAATTGTATGCAGTAAATAAGCTCTCAAAGTTATAATTTTTCTCTTCTAGGAGAAAAATTGAAAGAGGTTATAGATTAAAAAGTAGAGAAATAGAAGAGGAGATTAGAAACAAAGCTGGAGGGCAAAGGTAGATCATGCACATATGGGAAATTGGTACAGAAGACAGGAGGGAAAGGGATGGAAAAATAAAAAGAAGCATAGAACGGAACTACAACCACAAAAAATGGAATGTATGTTCTCATATAAAAGCAGAAACAAGCAAAGAAGAAAATAAACATACAAAGAAAAAGATAGAAAAATGGTCCACTTCAAGGTGTATTTCTGCTGTTACTTGTAGACATTGTAATCACAGTCTAGATCCTACCCCTTAAATTTACCATATGGTCATCTCCATATATGTAGAAAAAAAAAATTTTAGAAAGTCCAACATTATTCATGGTGGAAACAGCACAGAAAATTGGAATAGTCTTTTTTTCTATCTGATAAAAGCCTTATGCGACAAACCAATAGTAATTATCATACTAAAAGGACAACCACTGAAAGCTTCCCTTAGGATTGAAAATTTAAAATGGATTGGGAGGGAAAATAGAGGAATAGAAGAAGAGAGTAGAAGAAGCAAGGCTGGAGGACAAAATCATCACACAAACTTGAGAAACTGGTCAAGAAGACAGGAGTGAGGCTGGTGAGATAGCTCAGTGGACTTAGTGCCTGCTTAGGCAAATGGAAGGACCAGGATTCAAACCCTGGCACCACATGTCACATTGGCCCTACCCCTGGGTACACTGAGCCAGCCATCAAGACCAGCTGTGTTGGTGCACATGCCTGAAATCCCAGTGCTGGGGAAGCTGAAAACAGGGAGTCCGAGCTGATCACTACAAGTCCAAGCTCTAGTGAGACTCTGTACCAAATACATTAAAAAAAAAAAAAAAAAAAAGGAGGAAACAGATGCAAGAAGTTAAAGCAAAAACAGTTTTTTGCTGTTTCTAGCAAAAAGCTAAAAACCCTGTTCACACTCCAATAAAAACAAAAACAGTAAAAAGCAAAACAAAACAGAAAACATGGAAATCAGTAAATACCACGCTCAATATTAGCCAAAGCCAAGGATAAAACAAAGAAAAAGAAAAGAGAAAAAAACATATGTCCCTTTCAAGCTATGTCTTTGCTGTTATTGTTAGACAATAAGGGCAAAGAGTCTAGCTCCTAGTTGATTAATCCTAGCAAGCAGCAGTAGCCTTTCTGCAGTGCAGTCGATTATCCCAGTGAGCCTGCACCATTCTTTTCACTGAAGTTCTGGTTGGTTTCTGGTGGTGAGGCTGGATACCAGTTTCCTTGGCCTGCAGCAGTCTGTGTGCTTCCTTCTGGCTTGGGCTTTGCTCCCTGGCGTCCTGCCAATTTGAACTAGGCTCCCTGACCCTGTCAGTGGTAGCCACTAAATATACCTGGGCTGTAACTATTTTGAATTCTGAGTTCAGTTGGCTGCTTTCCAAGATAGCTACTGGCCAATTGCCCTTTTTTGGGGGACATCTGAACTTGGCTAACTATTGCCAGTGTAGTCTGCTTTTTCCACTGCTCTGTTCCTGCTGGTGTATCTTCGTAGAGACTTCTAGGGACAGCAGGAGTTACCATGTGTTTACTGATTCAAAGCTGTTCCTCCTACACACTGAGTCCCAAGTCAGGGAGATATCACTGCCTGCCACTTCCTTTGTAGAAATCTCTTCACTCTCTTTCTGGGCTTCTATTCTTGCTTCAGACCCTTCCTTGGTCACAGTGACCCACTGCCCTCGTTCTCTTCCTCACATTGCTATGTCCCATTTTCTAGACACTTGGAGAGGCTCTTTGCTACTCACTATTCCACCATCTTCCCTGAAGCGTATGGTATTTCTGATATATTTTGATACATAATTGTATGATACAGAGCATGTCTTTGGAGCTACTGTGGGTTACAAAAGATAGTAGTTGTGCCTTTGTAGTATTTATACTACAGCAAAACTACAGTTTTGAAATATGAGTTTTATAGTGTGTGGATATCAATAATAATAGAAGTAGTTTAAAGTTCTCAGAAATTTACTTTGAAGCATACACAGGCATTATATAGCGTAATAAGTCAACAGATTTTCACATAATTTGTAATTATTAATTATTGTAATTATTCTGGTGGAGCAGAATTTATCATTCTTAATACTATGTTGTATTATTAGTGTAACACAATTTGTGAGCTACAGTTATCACAGCTCAAAGCAGAATTGTAGATGCCCAGGCTCGGCTTGAACTTGTGATCCTTCTGCCTCTGCATTCTAGGCATGTGTTACCATGCCCTGAGCCATTTATGTTATAGACTATTAAAGAACTAAGGTGGTCTGGTCTACATTTTTATCGGTAATAGTAGTAATAAGAAATAACATTAAATCTTCATCTTTTGTTTTGTAGCTATCGTTATTAATTATGCAAGTGAAGTGTTTGACAGCTGAACTCAGTCAGTGGCACAAAGAAACACCTAAAAGTAAGATTTTTATTTTAGGGGTTCTTTTTGTAGGGATAAATTATTGGCTAATTAATTTAATCATCACAAGAATTACAAAATGAACTTGCCTTTCTTAAAATTATCCTTTTTCCATTTTTTTTGACATGATATTTTGTTGTTCTAAGTGAATACATCTATCTTAGATTATAATAATCTTTATTATTAGCTTATTTATTAAAAACTTTTTAGTGTTTTTTTGTTTTTGTACTGGGGATCAAACTCTTGACCTCGTGCTTGCGAGGTGGGTGCTTAGGCTGCTGAGCTGTCTGTCTGGCCCTTATTTGTCATTTTTATTTTCATAGGCATTGATTTTATTCAGTAGAAACTTAATTGTTTCTTAATGAATGAAACTTACCTAGTGAAAACGTTATTTCAATTTAGATACTTATTTACATAGGGTCTATATAATTTTTATGTTTTCTCTTGACTTTTCCAATTGGAGCCAAATATAATTTTTGTGCTTAGTTAAGAAACAGAAGATGTGAGAAGGCAGTTTGGGACAAGTGTTCTGCGGTCCCCAGTGTGTTGTGGAGTTCTGGTAATATCTTGCTGTTACTGCAAACTAACTTGAGTAGGAAATCACAGAGCCCCCTGTTCTCCTCTCTGTGCTGGGTGACAGCAGAGAGGCAATGGCAGCTATGGTGGCTGCAGAGGGCTCCTTAGACCTGCTGAGCTTGACTCTGGACCAGAGCTTCATAGGCTACAAGCCCTTTGTGCCCCAGGCATTGGGTCTTCGCCTGAGCTGGCAAGCTGGGGGCTGATGGGCTTTTATGGCATGAAAAGCTGAGGCTGCAAAGTCCCCCCAGGGGACACTGCTCAAAATCCTGACCTGGCTACACATGCGGCCAGACCTGGGCTCCAGCCTGGCCAGAGGCCAGGAAGAGGCTGCCCAGGAAGCCAGCCTACCCCGGGGTCAGGCTCCGATTGGCCTCGCTGACCCTGAGCATCTGGATGGACTCCTTCTTCATCCTCCTGAGATGTGGCTGCCTGTCACTGGTGCAGACCACAGACTTCTGCTCCCTGGTGGAGGATCCCTACATAATGGGGCACAGAGCTTGTGCCAACGTGCTGAGGGACCTCTATGCAGTGGGCATCACTGAATGTGACGTGTTAATGCTGTTCAGCCTCTGCCAGAGTATGAATGAGGAGCGAGAAAAGGTAATGTGACTCATGATCAAAGGCTTCCGGGATGCTGCTGAGGAGGGAGGAACTGCAGTCATAGGTGGACAGACTGGTGAACCCATGGATCATCATTGATGGGGTTGCCACCATGGTGTGCCAGCCAAATGAGTTCATAATGCCCGATAGTGCGGTCGTTGGAGATGTCCTCATGTTAACTAAACCCTTAGGAATCCAGGTTGTTGTCGGTGCCCACCAGTGGTTAGATAATCCTGAGGGATGGGACAAAACAAGCATGGTGGTCTCCAGGGAGAAAGTGGAGCTGGTCTATCAGGAGGCCATGTTGAACATGGCTACCCTAAATAGAACTGCTGCTAGGCTGATGACACACTTTCAGTGCTCATGCAGCTACAGATATCAAAGGCTTTGGAATTTTAGAATATTACCAGAACCTTGCAAAACAACAAAGAAACGACATGCCATTTGTCACCTGGTGGGAGTGGGGGTTACTGATTTTTCTGCCAAGAGAACAGGCAGCCCACTTTTGTTCTGAAATCAAATCTTCCAAGTTTGGTGAAGATCACCGAGCTTGGATCGTCGGCATTGTGATAAAGGGAAACCAGGTGGCCTGCATCTTTGACAAGCCTCAAGTTACAGAGGTTCTACCATGGGGGGCCCCGCCGCCACTCTTGCTCCTGACAGTTCCACCACCACTTGTGAGCACAGCTCTTGAGCTAGAGCAGTAGAAGGTGTTGGGAACTTGGCACCTTTGCACACTATCATGGATGATTTCTCAAGAGTTGATTTTAAGTCATTTTCAAAGAAGGCTGCCTGCTACCAGCTACCCCTTGTAGAGCATTTAAAGGAGCCCATGCAAAGCTTCCTGTGTGGACATTCCAAGCTAGAAGTAACATTTTGAACTTGGAGGGAGGCATGTGTTCATCTCTTGGATGAATGAGTTGCTGGAAAATCCGTTCTGTTTCCTCTTTCCAGAGTAAGACGAGGCTGTTGCAATTTGAGGGATTTTCCTTTGCACTGGATTGATTCATTTCTGGGCAGGGAGTGAGATTATTAAAAGTATATACACAAGAAATATACTGAAAATGAAAAAAGAAGTTTGGACCAATATTGTTGATAAATTTGAATTGTTGTTAAAAGAAATTTTATGATGTAATTCAAATTCTTTGTTAGGTTTTTCTGAGGAATTGGCCCTTTCCTGCGCTGGACAAGAATTGAGCAGCTTCTCCAATAACTAGAAAAAGAGGACCTGTGATCATCTGACTTGGTCTCTGTTGATGATGTTTCTCCCTCCAAATCCCATTAAGGATTGGGAGAAGCAAAAAAGCCCTAGAACTCAGGCCTTGGTTGTTAGTAAGATGTCTTGTGCTGAAAAACTCCTGCTGATTTAATTAAAGAGTGAATTAAAATAAATTTCTTTTAAAAAGAATGATTTCTAGTTTAATAAAGACTGTTGGAAAGCTAAAAAAACCAAAACAAAGAAATAGAAGACGGCTTTGAAATTTGTAGTTGTAATACCAAAGTTATTTGTGTATTTTTAAAAATAATATCCCATGTTGTTCAGATTGACCTTGAACTTACTGTATAGGCCAGGCTTACATCTAACTTGTGGCAGTCCTCATGCCTCAGCCTCCTACATGCTAGGATTACAGGAGTGTGCCCCCGCACCCAATAA